TTCATAATTGCCTTCAGCATTTCCATTTATTTCACTAGTGTTACTATTGGGAGCAGCTAGACTAGAGGATTCTTATACTTCTTCCTCTACAGGATCATTCTCAGGAGTAAGTCCAGCACTTGCTTTAGCGGGAGCATTCGAAGACTCACTGACATCTTCCATGTTGAAAGGTAAAGTTTCTCCTGACTCGGCACTGCCTGGGGTACCCGAATGCGTAGGCTGCTGCATAGGTACATGTTGTTTATTGGAAACAATCTCAAGTGGTTGGGACTGATGATTCTGAGCCATACGCAATTCATATGGGTGACTTTCCTGCAAAAGGAAACACAGATTCATTAAAAATAACATGCCTAGAGATATAGACCTTTCTATCAGTAGCCAGGCACAGAAAGCCTTTGTGTTGGGGGCTGACACCTAGATAAGTGCACGGTTGTGATTGAAATACGAGTTTATGGGCTTGAAAGGATCTCATGTAAGGGAAGCATTGACAACCAAACACCTTGAGCTCACTGTAGTTTGGTTTCTTTCCTAACAACTTCTCACTAGGAGAGAGCCCTTGTAGAACCTTGGTATGCAACTTGTTTATTAGCTGAGCAGCAGCAATAATAGCATACGAGCAAAGCTCCATTGGCAGTGCTGCATGTTCCAGCAGTACAAGGTCCATTTCAACTAAATGTTTGTGTTTTCTCTCAACAATCCCATTCTGCTCGGATGTGTGCGGACATGACAATCTGTGGGTGATACTAGTTTTGGCTAGAAGTGGAGAAAGACTGCGAAACTCACCACCCCAGTCACTCTGAACAGATTTAATGAAGCACCAAACTGTGTTAACACCATCTTTTGAAATAATAAGAAAGCTTTAATGGCCTGAGATTTATATTTGAGGAGATAGATCCATGTGTATCTGGTACATACATCAACAAATGAAGTATAATACCTAAATCCATTTGAGTAGACGTGTGGAGGTCCCCACAAATAAGTGAAAACAAGTTGAAATAGAGTATCATATGATGTGGTTGATTGCACAAATGGCAATTTGTGGCTTTTTCCCATTTGACAAGCAGTACACGTTTTATTAATGTCTATGGAAAATTTTACATCGAGTTCTTTAGTCACTTGTCTTAGTATTTCATTAGAGGGATGGCCAAGTCTTCTATGCCATAACTCCTCTAGCTCACTAGTCACAGAATTAGTAACTAAGATAACATTAGCAGCAGTGCATCTGTCTTCTTTCCCAGTGTGACTTGCCACAAATGAGTAAAGCCCACCATATTCTTCACCAGTCAGGAGCACTCGGTTGGTAACCTCATCATGTACACAGCAGTTATTTGCATGGAACTCAAAGAAGATGTTGTTGACCCTAGCAAGCTTCGAAACCGAAAGCAAGTTCTTTGTTATATGGAGAATATGCAACAAATCATGCAACATTAATATTCTGGATGTAGTAGTAAGATTGCCCTACCAACTATTCGAATATCAAGGGAAACACCATTACCAACTGTAATTTTACCTGGTCCATGGAAATCAGAGGCATTTGTAAGGTTTGTTCTGTCTGGAGTAATGTGATGAGTGGCACCCGAGTCCACCACCCAGCGTTAAGAAGATGCAGCAGCCACATTTGCTTGAGAGTTTGCCTTTATACGTGAGCATCACTCGCAGCTTTGGTTACCACTGGCAGAAGTCGAGCCAGACGAGGAGTAACTGCTAAAGGAACTATCATTGGGAGAGTGATAATTGTTGGCAGTGACACAGTTGAAGTCTTCATCAAACCTATGCCAACAACGGTCAACCAAGTGGCCTAGCTTCCCACAGAGTTGGCATTGAACACGTGTTCGGCCACTCCCTCAACCACCATTCCTCGATCCAGACGCAGATGATGGTGCACGATTGTTCCTATGATCTGAGCGATTAGAGATGTTACGATCTGCATCTCCTCGAGTATAATTCGCAGTCATTGGCAGAATGTCTTGCTGTTTATCAAACCCCGTAATTTGGACCTCATCATCCATCAATATTGTATATATATTATCAATTGAGAGATCCTCTTTCATAGTAGAAACAACAGCCATGAAGGGTTGATACTCACAAGGAAGACCTTTCAAGATGGTCACAATTTTCTTAATTGATGGAAAACTACTTCCACACGAGGCAAGAGCATCACACACTTCCTTGATGCTTGTGAGATACACCCGCATACTGTCATTACCTTTCCTTATAGACTGTAGTTTATAATGTAGACTCATAACAAACATAGTTGAGCGATCTGCAAAAAAATTTAGAACCGTTTCCCAAACTGCTGCAGCTGTTTCAGCTCCAACAAATTGTGACAGCAGATGCGTACTCATCGTTGATAGAAGCCACGATATCAACGCACTATCTTGCGTGACAAAGTCTTCATAGTCCTCATTCACTCGAGTCTCACCATTTGGATCAGTAATCATCATGGGTGGTGACGAGACATCATTGGTCAGCAGACGCTCCAGCCGATGACTCTTGACCGTGAGCAAGATTTGTTGTTTCCAAAGCAAGAAATTGGTTTAATCAATAGCCATATTAACTTTCTTGTTGGAGAAGTTTCGAGATGTAGAGGAGGTAAGATCCATGAATGAACTGATCTTCAAGAATCTTGATTCACGAGCGGAAGCAAGAGCATACGATCCCACGATCAATGACGATTGATACCATGTTGGATATCTAAGTATAAGCTAAAGAGCACATGTAAAGTAAGTGAAGAAGATTACTTGAATTACATTGATCTACACTCCTCACATCCTTATATACAACTTTACAAGGTTGTTATAGTCTTAACAGACTTAGTAACTAACCACTAACAAACTCAACTAATCATTAACAACTTTAACTCCTGGTAAGCTTCTAGAATCACTATGCTCGAGCAGTGCTCACAAACTCATAATGCCAACATAACTCAGTGAAAATATATAGTGTATATATAAAAGATTTTTGGGTTAATTACATGATTGATCACTTATGTTTGTGTTTTGTCTATTTTTCTTCACTGATTTCAAAAAATATAATATAATGTCACTTTTATTTTTTATCTAATTAAAATGTAGTCATCACAGGTTAATTGTCATTAACAATTAATAGATTAGGTTATGCGATAGTTAAATACTTTGGTAGAATCACACATTTTGTCCCTATTATTTACATAAGATCATTTTCGTTTTTATTTAGTTAATATATGGTCACTTTCGTTTTTATTTAATAAAGATGTGGTCACCGCAAGTTAACTGTTGTTAACAGTTATCATATCTTAATTAAATAAAAATGAAATTGTTCATATATTATGTTTTTTTAAATCAATAAGTAAAAGTAGACATAACACAATTTTTTTATGACATCATGCATTTCAATATGCCTAAACTACACTAATGGTCATTAATGTTTGGGTTAGTGTTCATTTTTATCACTGATATTTGAAAAGTCACAAACCGGTCACTAATATTATTATTTGTTACAAAATAGTCACTAACGTTATCGTTTGTTACAAAATGGTCACTTGACGTTAACAGTAGTTAATAAATCGTTACTGCAGTAATGGAATACTGACGTGGTACGTTAAATCAGCTGACTCAATATGTTTGACCGATTATTTGACTCTTCTTCTTCTTTTTCTCTTTCTCCTTCTTCTTTTTCTCTTTCTCCTTCTTCTTCTTCTTCTTTAATATAAATTACCACCCATGCAGTGACCTATTGCCCATGCACAAAAACAAGTGGATTTCAACTTTCCTTGACTGCATTTTAACACCACCCATTCTACAAGTAAAAAGATTCAGTGATAACCTCCTATAAACATTCTGATAAAAGTGAGAATAAATTAAATTATTTCGAGTGAACTTATTTCAAGCTCTCCATTTTTTCCATGACTTGCTACAACAATGAACATCTTATTTGCATGAACACTGAACATCCATTCATGTTTCAGCTATAAAAAGTGACATAACTTACACGTTATGTAAAAATAAACACGTTATGTAAAAATAAACGTACTTGGCAATGCACACAGGATCTCAAACGTGGTTAAACGGTTAAAACCCATATTTCATTATGTTTTAAATTTATGTAAATTTATAAGAAAGGACACCAATACCAAGGACGTCAATGAGTTCGACTTTTGGTAAACCCACAAGTTACTGTAGTTCCAGTGGTGTTGTGTTCATAGAACAAAATTTCCAAGCAAAGGAAGTTGCACCTTACAAGGATGATCTTGACTTGTTGACGCAAAACAGAGGCAACACCTTGCAAGGATGATCTTGAGTTGTTGGCGGCAAACAGAGGTAACGTCATGCAACGATATAAAGAAGAATTATGAGTTAATAATTATGACCTGTTCTATTATTTAAAACAGAAATATTGGCGCAAAACGCCATGCAACATCATGAAATGTTAAGAAACGTGTATAATAGAAAATATACACAGTAAAGAAAATGCTTGCATTCATATCAGCTGGCACACTACATTTATAAGAGTGGTTTAGCTCACCACTAACCACCACTAACCATCTAACAAACTAACTGACTTTGCTAACAGACTAACCACCTCTACACGTATGTGCTGCATTGACAGCAGCCTAACATTCCTCCTGCTCTTCCTTTTCTCCTCTTTGACAACAATCTAACATTCCCTCTACTTTTCCTTCTTGATGAAAAGATGAACACTTGAACCGGAAGTGCCGATGCTTCCTCCCGTTCACTTGAATCGGAAGTGCCGATGCTTCCTTCCGTTCGATTTGAATCGGAAGTGCCGATGCTTCCCTCCGTTCGATTTGAATCGGAAGTGTCGATGCTTCCCTCCGTTCGACTTGAATCAGAAGTGCCGATGCTTCCCTCTGTTCGACTTGAATCGGAAGTGCTAATGCTTCCCTCTGTTCGACTTGAATCGATGCAGACTTTTGATGTGAATGAACATTCAACCAAAAAATTATAAAAAAAAACTATTCTATAACAACAATGTTTCGCAGCTTAACTACTAACAATTCTTCATCCTCCTTGCACGTAAACCTTCTGCTTCATATTGCTTGGAGCAAGGGCAGTGATCTCCTTGCTCATACGGTCTGCAATATCAGGGAACATAGTTGAACTACCACTAAGAACAATGTTACCATAGAGATCCTTCCTGATATCTATATCACACTTAATGATAGAGTTGTAGGTAGTTTCATGGATTCCAGTTGCTTCCATTCCTATGGAAGATGGCTGGAAGAGGACTTCAGGACACCGGAATCTCTCAGTTCCGATAGTAATGACTTGTCCATCAGTTTTGAGGGTATACTCAAAAGCACTGTTCATTAGCCCACCTTTGCATCCATAATCACATGAACCTTTCTCTTCTTGATCACACTCATGATCGCAGTCGACTAGCTGTTGTTCGCTGAGGCTCAAAAGTTTTTCGGTTGCCAAAAAGTTAGCACCTTCCAAGGCTCCTGTTGTACTAAAAGACCAGCATGATCCGCATGAACCTTGGTTTTTGACGGATGAAACAACTCTTTTTTCTCTCCAGTCGAATTCTTCAGGCAAATTATCAGTAGGCAAAATCGGTGCCTCGGTCGCATCTTTAGGCAATCTCAATCTCCTTAATCCCAAATACACATTCCTGAACTCTCCCGGAGTCAAATCGGAGAACTGAGTCACCCCGTGAGTCGCAGATGGGTCAAGCTTCTGATGACGCGCCGCTCGTCTCAGGTTATACTGGAAAACCTTGAACCTATAACCGTGCTCCTCCTGTGACATGTACGATTTCTTGAACCGCTTTTTGAACAGAGAGAAGCGATGCTCCGCTGTCAGCAGCGGTTGCTCGGCTCCATCGTGACCATACGTTACTTGCTCGATCAAAGGATCAACTTGGAATCCCCCCGCTGTAGTACGACCACTGGCATACAAGGAAAGAACAACCTGCATGGCAAAGTACATGGCAGGTACATTGAAGATCTTAAACATAATCTGCTGCTCGAGACGGAAATGCAGTCACAATAGAGCCAACGGACTCCATGCAGCGGAAGAACAACAAGGTCAGGACCGTTTGGCGATTGATACCATGTTAAGAAACGTGTATAATAGAAAATATACACAGTAAAGAAAATGCTTGCATTCATATCAGCTGGCACACTACATTTATAAGAGTGGTTTAGCTCACCACTAACCACCACTAACCATCTAACAAACTAACTGACTTTGCTAACAGACTAACCACCTCTACACGTATGTGCTGCATTGACAGCAGCCTAACATTCTGTTGTCAAAGAGGAGAAAAGGAAGAGCAGGAGGAATGTTAGGCTGCTGTCAATGCAGCACATACGTGTAGAGGTGGTTAGTCTGTTAGCAAAGTCAGTTAGTTTGTTAGATGGTTAGTGGTGGTTAGTGGTGAGCTAAACCACTCTTATAAATGTAGTGTGCCAGCTGATATGAATGCAAGCATTTTCTTTACTGTGTATATTTTCTATTATACACGTTTCTTAACATGAAACAGTCATCACATCGTTAGGAGTTTCCAAACCGAGGGAAAGAGACAATGGGGTGACATCCAAGAGGAAAAGACCCTGCACCTTCTCGTTATCGTCAGTCCTTCACCACTCAAGTTAGCGGATTGGACTGCAACACCATAAGCAACAGCCTCATCGATCAGGGTTGATGCTCTTGCAGAGCTCTTGTAGAGCTCCTTTCCATTTAAGAAATATTGCAGAAGTTGATGAACCTTGGGAATCATAGTGGAACCACCAACAAGCACAACATCGTGGACGGCGCTGCTCTTGTCCATCTTGGCATCCCTCAAACACTTCTCAACTAGTTCCATACATTTTCTGAAGATATCCATGTTAAGTTCCTCAAATCTAGCACGGGTGATGGTCGAATAAAAGTCGATATCCTTGTACAAGGAGTCAATCTCAATAGTGGTTTTGGGCAGTTGATGAGAGAGTTCTATATGCCCTCTCACAAGTGGCCCTCGACCTCCTAAGAGCTCTAGGGTTGCCACTTGAGTCAGTTGGTTTAACTTGCCACATCAGGTATTCCGTTACTACAGTAATGGTTTATTAACGGTTGTTAACGCCGAGTGATCATTTTGTAACAAACAATAACGTTAGTAACCATTTTGTAACAAGTGATAACGTTAATGATCGATTTGTGACTTTTCAAACACCAGTGGTGAAAACGAACACTGACACAAAAATTAGTGACCATTGACGTAGTTTACCCTTTCAATATTGATTGATTGTTGGAGACAGCCCAGAGTTGCATTCATCGAAAAAGATCGCCTATCTGTTATTCTTGCAAGTTTTAACGTATAAAGCAAGGAGGTAGGCACGAATTTCACAAGTGGAAGCTTCCAGATAAAAATAAAAAATAAAAAAAACATGAGTGAGCATACTGGATTCCATGGACGACGCTAGCGCCATGTATGATCATCAGCTTCAGATAAAATGGTTGTAGATTCCACTTTGTTTTTGAGAAAATTATAGCAAGTTGGGCAACTTGGAACTCTGCAATTCTCTCAATGTCGTGACCATCGTTTCATCATTCATTTTTATAATAAATTTTAATTTCCTCTCACTTTCAAAGACGGATGCATATGGCCTTATAATAGGTCAAATTATTAGCTGTCAGTTATTTAGTCACTTAGTTTGTTATTAATCTGTTAATGTATTAGTAAGATTAGTAACAATTAGTGTGATTGTATATAAATATCTTAGTTTTGTAAACATTATTTTGAGATGAATGAAATAGATGAAGCACTTTTTCACTAAATATTCCTTTTAACATGGTATCATGAGTTATAAGATTCGTTTCTCGTAAATTCGCTTCTCTTTGTTGTGTTCAACACTCGGTCAAAATTGTTTTAGGGTTTTTTTCTCTCTTTTTCCTCTTTTTTTTTTTTGCTACGGAAACTTTTGTGCTCGATTTCAATTACCCTTTGTTTTTGCATGCTTCTGATGCACCTGGGTGTCTTCTCGTTTCGCATCAACTTCTTAGCATCGAGAATTATGGTGTATGGAGCAGATCTATGAAGATTGCCTTGCTTGTGAAAAACAAGTTAGGTTTTGTTACCGGTGATTGCAGGAAAGAAAATTTTGACGAATTTCTGCATTCACAATGGGAGAGATGCAATGCTCTTGTGTTATCTTGGATTCTCAATACGGTGAGTAAAGAGCTTTCGACTGGTATTGTTTTCGCGTCCAGTGCTGCTTTGGTTTGGCAGGACCTGAAGGAGAGGTTTGATAAGATCGATGGATCTAGAACGTTCTTCTTGCATCGTGAAATTGCTTTGTTAACTCAAGGTGATTCCACAATATCAACTTATTTCACTCGTTTAAAGTTACTTTGGGATTAGTATGAACCCTTAGTTCCAGTTTCTTCTTATGGTTGTGAACTTTCACAATGCACCTCTATTCATCACGCTGAACAGAAATCATTTCAATTTCTCATGGGTCTCAATGAGATATATGCTGTTGTGCGAAGTCATATCCTGGTTATACAACCATTGACGTCTGTAAATAACACATATTCAATGAATGTTCAAGAGGAATCGCAAAGGGTTTATTCTTTTGGTCTTTCTCCGATCTCTGATGTCTTTGTTATGTACTCCAATTATGCTGGGAACAGTGATCGGAAGCGGTTTTTCGGTGTGTGTGATCATTGTAAGATTCGAGGACATAAGCATGAGAATTGCTATAGATTAATCGGTTTTCCTGCCGATTTCAAATTTTCCAAGAATAAAGGGAGTCAAGTGGCTTTGGCTTCTAATCGATCTGTTCTTGGTTCTCACAATCAGGTCAGTCTTGAGCCATAACAGGTTGTTGCTTCCAGTTTTCCTGATGTTGCTCATGTGTTTACACACGCCCAGTACCATCAAATTCTCGATCTCTTGAACAATGAGCCTTCTGTGGATTCAACAGTAAACCTTGCATGTATTGTTTCTGACAAAACTTGTAACACCCCAACCCGTATCCGACCCAGATATGAATCTGAGGTGTCACATTGACCTTTTAAAACATGTACTTGTATAAAATAGTGAGTAATTTAAAACTTTTATAACGTATAAATGACTAATTTACATAAAAGACATTTTCATTATTACAAAACCAATCAGAGCGTGTATATTTCACTTATTTATTTACATATAACTATTCAAAACATTTATAAAACTGTTCATAGCTTAAACAATATATTCTTTTGAAAACATGCCAACTAGAACTTTATATACTAAAATACATATTATTCACATCTTTTCTGATCTGACCTTTAGTAAGGAGAACTGACCTGTCTTGCTCCACATTGCTCTTTACTCTTCTCGAAACCTACGTGTAAATCACTTACACGCTAAGTCAAAGACTTAGTGAGGCAATAAACATATAAGGTAAACGGTAACTAATAATCATACATAAACAATTACTACTATCATTTCATACAACTCATACTTTTACATGTAACAAATATATACATACATATATGTCATTATCATTCATATCTTATCTCATGTTCCTATGATCTCTTATGTCCATATCATATATCTTATAAACTTATTATTATATCATCATTTCAATCAATTATACATTCAACATATCATGTACTATCATATAACATATACCATATATACTATCATAAAACACGTACACCCAGGCAACTATAATATCATCTTCATTTTTATTAATATTATCTATTTAATTCCCATGATACACATGTGAGAACTAAAGATATGCGAGTACATAGAGGTTGTGCACTAATGCTGTCACCACAGCTCATATAATTGCACCGAAGTGCCACATATAATTGCACCGGAGTGCCGCGTAGAATTACACTGTAGTGCCATATAATAATGTCCATAAAGACCACATATCATTCCTTAAGAATCATATACATATACTAGGGATCAAGTATGTGTCTCACCAGACTTCACACATGTTCCAAAGAATACATATATGTCCCGAAGGACCACATATCATTCCTTAAGAATCATATACATATGCCAAGGATCAAGTATGTGTCTCACTTGACTTCGCACATGTTCCAAAGAATACATATATGTCCCGAAGGACCACATAGACCCTCGACTCTTGGCATGCCAACTATACCCCTAACTCTTATGACACATAACATGGGCATTATCTTTTATATCCTTTTTCGTATTCATGTAACCATATCATATATTCATATAAGCTCATGGTTTCATTCACATATACATATAATCACGTAATTCATGTCAATTCTCATATGAGTTCATATTCATATAAACATATGATTCACCTTCACGTATCACATATACTTTCTCTTTCATATAGCTCATAACATTTCTCATGTGTTCATATGATATGTAAATCATTGTCATCTCATCATGTTATCACATAAACATATAATCTTACAATACATACAAAAACACCTCAATACATATATTCACATATACCTATCATTTCATTATCCTTATTATTATTCTTATCATCACCATTAATCCCTTTTACTTACCATATTCATATCAATAACACATATAAATCATAACAAATACATACTTCTATGAATTCATGTTTTTTACTATTGGAAATAGACTTATCACAAGTCTTATTTTCCCTTGAACCTCATATACTAGAGAATGTGCACTCACCTTAGCCTTGTTTGCTTTGAATCAATCTTAATCCTTAGATTGTTCCGAAACAAGCTTCATTCTATATCTACATTATAATAATACATTGATACATATCAGTATACTACCTGTGCATCGATACACCTTCAAACAATTTCTGGGTTTTAACCTTGATGCATCGGTGCACTATGAATATACATCGATGCACTCTGCCTAGAATCCTCTTTTTGAACCCGAAAATTCATTCTTTTTGGATTAAATCCTTCATATTTTAACCCCTTTCGTATTCCTAACTTACATATACATACTTAAACTCATTAATATTCATTTATCTCATCTTTAACCTCAAAATTCCATCTTTCATATGGAAATCAATAATCATACCCAATTTTCCATGTTATCCAAACTTAATTCTAACACTTCTAACTTCTTATTCTTATAGATGACAAGTCAAATTCATCATCTAAATTCATTTAAACCTTCTTATTCAAAATTTCACTTAAAAACTCATTTTCTTTAATCTCTTCTAACCTCTTCATTTCTTTAAGCTTTCTTAGTTTCCAAAGAATCAAAACCAACTTAGAATTCAAATAATAATCAACTAATAAAAATTCTCACCTTTGCTCTTGGCTTCCACGCGTGAAGAAGAAAGGAGAAGAAGAAAACTCTGGAAACTCATTTCCCTCATTTCCCACGTTTTTATATCCCCTAAAAGAGAAATAAAAAAATCTTCTCTTAGAAAAGACCATAATACCCTTATTACTTTCAAACTTTACTATTAAATCCAACCTCAAAATTCTCCAATTAAAATTCTAAACTTTTAACTTATTTTGAAATTGAACACAATGCTTTCAAAATTCACCTTTAGATCACTAGCCTGATATTGAGGATGTTACAAAACTGGCTTGACTAGTCTTTCTTTCAATTGGATATTGGATACAGGGGCCACTAACCACATGTTATCTGATTTTCAAAGGCTAATTTTTCATATTTCATGTAACTCAGAATCTAGTCTTGTACATTTACCCAATGGCCAAACAGCTTCTATCAGACATAAAGGTTCTTTTTGCCTTAACCATGAACATTTCATTACCAATGTTTTGTTTGTTCCTAAATTTTTCTCATAACCTCTTATCCATTTCCAAGCTAACCAAAGAACTTAATTGCAGTCTTTCTTTTTACCCTAGTTTTTCCATTCTACAGGATCTCTCCACTGGAATGATAAAGGGGATTGGTAGAGGTCA